GGGATTTTGCTTACCGACAATAATACGTGAGCTACGATCGGACCATGACCAATCAGAACGATCAGTCTTTCTTGGACATTTGCCGTGGAAGTGTGTGTTAATTTCTGTTGTGATAAGTGTGGTTGTGTTTGTGCAGTTTTTCGGTTTCGATATTATGTTAAAATTAATTTTGAAGTATTGTATTATCACCTGTTTTTATGTAATAGTACTTTTTTTAGTTCTATGATCTGATATGTTATGATTTGTTAATGTTTGTTTAACAATGTTATACCAAAGAGGTTATACTTAATATATCAATTTGCATAGCATAACTTTTTTATCAATAAACTTTGTAGATTTTCAGATTATTTAATTCCTTTTATTTCGGGTTGTAATTTTATTTTTAAGACATATTATGTGATTGTTTCACATAATATGTTTTAAAAATAAAAAATTGCAAATAGTGAATAAAAATAATTAAAATAAAAAAGTGTATTTTACAATTCCCGCCTCTTCCCCCCGGTCCCGCACCCTTTGGCTATCTTGAAAATGTCAGCTACAACGAGAGATGGCGCTACGAAAATGGAACCGATCTATTACAACTCAGGCTTCTTTTTCGTTAGTATATTCTGTGATTTGGTACAACGGCCAATGAGTACACGGTACAACTCTCATTTGTTTAGGTTAGGTATATAGACAACATAGTTTTGAGAACAGTGAATAGACAGTGAATTTAACGTAGCATATTCTTTGAGTGAATTCTTATTTACGATATATACAGGGTAAATCTTAAATAAGTGCAAATATTTTCAGGGCTGATAGATTTCGATTAAAAACATATTTTCTCTTTACCGTTTTTCAAATAAGTCCAACATAACAAAGTTATTTTACTGTGAATATTTAAAAAAAATGGTTCTTTGACTTAAGATTTTGGGTTTAAACTCTAGATTTTTTCTTGTAAATTTAATCTACTACCTATGCTGACATAGTCAGAAGAAAATATGTTTTTTTTTAATTAAAAACTAAACAAAATTTTAAATTTTCAATTTTTTTTGTGAAAAAAACTCATAATCGTGTTTCTGTGGTCGAAATACCGAGTGCGTCTTAAAAGTGGCTTACCCCTATAACTTTTTTATTTTTTCCAGATAAAAAAAACGAGATTTGTTATGTTTGTATATGACATAAATTAGGATTGACTGACGTATTCAATTGTTTTCATTCACTTCCCGTTTTACCGGAAATCGGAAATGACTACAACTTTTGATTTTTCAATGGCAACCTTGGTATATTTTTACTTTATTCGATAGAAAATGACACTCTGAATAGAATGACATATCAAATTATAGGCTGATTAGCATATTATCAAACCGGTCAGAACAAGACACTAAAAATATTAGACGATTAAATCTATTTTTCCACGGCTCCTTGATTAAAAATTATATAGTGTTTAGCACAGCCATGGAACTCTACGATAATAAAAGATACGATCTTTAAAAGCGATAAATACCATAAAATACGATTTTTTAAGCGAATATGTCAAGTTGACATATGATATGTCATTCTATTCAGAGTGTCAGGGTGCATTCACACTATCCTAAAAACGGCGTATCGGCGTAACGGCGTAATGACCTTGAATAAATTTCCAGTAATTCTATTGGCTGAAAAATTCATCAGAAATTTTATCTGTCAAATTCATCTGTCAAAAATTTCAGCCAATAGAATTACTGGAAATCGATTCAAGGTCGTTACGCCGTTACGCCGATACGCCGATACGCCGTTTTTAGGATAGTGTGGATGCACCCTCATTTTCTACCGAATAAAGTAAAAAATACCGAAGGTGTCAAAAGTTGTCATTTCCGGTGAAACGGGAAGTGACCTAAAACAGTTGAATACGTCAATTAATGAACACCTCAGTAGATTGAAGCTAGGGAACAACGGTGAATGCAGATTCTGTAGGGAAAATGGGGAAACACCAGACCAGCTCATAATAGAGTGCGCCGAGAGGAAAACCATTAGTGCCATAAACTTTGATACGACTGATATGGGGGATGGAGAACTATCTTCTGTAAAACCGTCTCAAATACCGACTTTTGTCAAAGCACTGGGATTGTATGATGAGTTATAACTCTAGAAAGGGGGACATAATAGATCTATAAGATCGCGGTGGTAAAATTCCCTCTTCCCATACAATCTACATCTAAAAATCTAATAAAAAATATTTTTCACAATAAACTACGACCTACGAGACCGCTACAACTTTCAGATAGCGCCGTGTCTAATTAGTTTTCATTTCAATACATCCATCACCCCCTTCTCGTCCGCAACTATAAACGTATACGAACTAATAACAGGAGCACCTGTTAATTTTTGCAGGACGCGCATGTGTGCGTGCGTCCGACACCGTTTTCAGCAGCGATTTTCAGCCCTTTCAGCCGTTTCAGTCCGGCTGAAACTCCAACCGGGAACGGCGGTCCCGGCACAATTTCCGATCCGAACACGACGCGGAAATTCCCGATCGCTGGCGCGAAATATACGATCGCTATTGCTATCCAGGTTATCCAGGAAATATCCGTACGATTTCCTCTAGTTATTATTCTCCGTCGAACGAAACAGGGATATTGTCATTTCCTCAGGAAATATCCAAAAAATCCCTTTTTTTCTCTGACAGTTCGGAACTTTCGCACAATTTTCTAAATTTAAAACCACGCATTCAGAGAAGTTAGTTTTGGCTAGTTTGAAAATAGCATCGGTACGGTCAGTTGGAAGTTTTGCGAATAAGAAACTGCGATATATTTTTTTTTTGGTGCTTTGAATTCGAGAATCCTATAAAAACCGGGACAGTGAAGAAGCGGATATCGCACGATGTGAATGACCATAAAAATTCCTAGACGTCTATTGTAAAGTTTTTCGTTTGATGCTCCAGATCCTATTATAAAACCTTGTTAAGTGGCAGTTGTAGTGGATAAAACTTGTTGACATGGGGTTGAGTGGATGCTTATTTGTTACCCTTCTGGGTATTTTGGTGGTAAACGCCGGATATACAGGTAGGGGCAATATTTGTCTTTTTACTAAACATTACGGAAAATTTCAAAAGTTATTGAACAGAATTTAACGAATATATAGTGGAATTTCTGAATTTAGAATTCATCTTTTAGTCTCAACTGTTATTAACTTTGGATGATTTTGCCTATTAGCATTAAAAATAGATCACTAAACCTCAGTACTCGATAAAATTAATGTTCTAGCGGATGATGCTAAAATTAACTGCAAAATGAGAAAACTGAAAGGAAATTCCTCAAATGTATCGAGGTAAAAGTGAAAAATATTTCCAATTCAAAATAAGGTTCTTCTTAAAATGTATCTTATAATTTATGTTACCGATACAAACATTACAAAAAGACGATCGCTATCCCAGTTGTAACGGGAATATCGTGCGATTTCTTTTAGTGAAATTGTCACGGACATCACTATTTTGTTAGAAAATATCATTTTTTTCTCATCTTTAAAATTTGAACTTTCGTACAGTTTTTTAAATTTAAATTAACGCATGCAGAGAAGTTAGTTTTGGCTAATTTGGAAATAGCAGTGGTACGGTCGGTTGAAAGTTTTGCGAATAAGAAACTGCTAGATTATTTTCTTTTGGTGCTTCGAATTCGAGAATCCTAATAAAAGCTGGGATAGTGAAGAAGAGGATATCGCACGATGTGAATGACCATAAAAATTCCTAGACGTCTATTGTCAAGTTTTTCGTTTGATGCTCCAGATCCTATTATAAAACCTTGTTAAGTGGCGGTTGTAGTGAATAAAACTTGTTGACATGGGGTTGAGTGGATGCTTATTTGTTACCCTTCTGGGTATTTTGGTGGTAAACGCCGGATATACAGGTAGTGGCAATATTTGTCTTTTTATTAAACATTACGGAAAATTTTTAGTTAATAAACAGAATTAAAAAAATATATAGTGCAATTTTTGAATTTAGAATTCACATTTTAGTCTCAGCTGTTATTAACTTTGGATGATTTTGCTTATTAGCATTAAAAATAGACGACTAAACCTCAGTACTCGATAAAATTAATGT